TGATTTTCTTAATATGAATAACTTGATCACTTTTATATATGACAATTTTACTATTGTTATGAGTTTAATTTTAAATTATTTGATTACATAACTTATTTTATGTTTGACTATGCACTCATTGACAGGCTTCGAACAGACAATTGGCATTCACACAGAAGTCAGTGTGAGGAGTGAACATAAGCCTCCATGAGCGTGCATATCCATGCATGAACCATTTTCCGGTTTGCGTATTAAGGAGAGTCACTTGTACTAATCCCATCTGATATTGCCTCGGTTGGCTAAATGGGCCCTATTTTAAAGGAACAATCGGGTCATGTTGGAAATTTTATAGCTGGGGACTTTTTTTCAGGTGCTGTGTAATATCTCATGGTACTCAGCAAAGTGTCCTGATTATTATGCAGGAAGAGAGTATAGTCATATCAGCCTAGAAAATCACAACTTTTCATTTTCCGTCGGTCTTAGTGCACGATGTAACTACAGAAGAGGCTAGTTTTAAATAGGAAAAATATCGAAACTCTGGTCATTTTTTTGGAGAGAAATGCTAATCCAAGCTAAAAGTGCTACCACCAGACCCGGAGATCGGCTGAATGGTTTTAAAAATGGTAAAACTCAACTGTTTAACTCTAGGGGACTTGGTAAATGAGCCTATTTCCAAAAAAAAAAAAAAAAAAAAAAAAAAAAAAAGTGGCGTGTTCCTTTAAGGATCTAAGTGTGTGGCCTAAGCATGTGGCACAAGTGCACTTATGGTGTATCCGAATCCACTTTTTATAGTTTAACGATGGGAAAAACGCATGGTGTTAAAAGGTTTCCCTATTCTCTTAATGAGTAATGGGTGTGTTTTGGGCTTTCATGCAATGCATTTATGTATTACAGATTGGCATTTATATGACTGAATTGGTAACACTTTACAATACGGGTGCACTAATAAGCATTAATTCATGCTTAACTAATGCACAGATAATACTGAATTAATGTGTAACTAATGATTATTTAAGCTATCCATTAATGATTACCACATTAGGAACTAATTAAGAGTATGTAAAGTTAATGTATTAGTTCATACATGAATTGTTATTAATTAAATATGTAATTGTAGATTAATTTCATAATAACTCTTTTTTTTAGCTAATAGTGTTAATTAATATGTTAATTACAAGAATGAGCCAAAGCCTTGTATTTCAACTTCCAAATAATATGACAGGTACACTAATATGCATTAATACATGATTAATTACTTCATTGTTAGTGCAAATTCATGTGTAAATTACTACAATTACTAAATGACTAGTTAATAATGATGTGCCCCAACAAGTAAAGTCATAATATATTGATACCTTTGCAAATCATTAGCTAATGATTAATTAAAGCATACAACTGGAAGTTGAAGTGCATAGCTTTGACTAATTGTGGTAATTAACACATTCATTTACACTATTAGTTAATAAAATATGTTATTAAGGAATTAATACACAATGACACATTGAATTAATAGCAATTCATGTATTACTTAATCTATTAATCATATAGACTCTTTATTAGTTGCTGATGCAGTAATCATTAATTAATGGTTTAGTTCTTTATGAGTTCATGATTAAATCATTAAATTTGAGTAAATTTTACGGTAAAAAAAAACGGCAGCTGTGGTTGCCAAAACTTTACTGTTAAAAATACAGTAGGAACGTTAATGGTTTTACAGACTTAACTTAAAATTTACAGTAATAAACCGTAATTTATTTTCTGATAAAATTTGGATTTACCAACTTATTGACGTATTGATATCTGTTTTAGACCATTGTAATACACTGACAACCAACAATCATCACAGCAGTGATGAGTTACATGAGCAATCACAGCTCATAACAAGTGAATACTTGTATAAAGCAATGCTTAATTCAAGAAGCTGCAAAATGTCATTCACACAAACATTAAGCACCATCATGGTAACACACATGAATTTTTGAAAAACAAAAAAATGCAATAAACATTAATTTAACAACATTAAATGTAACATATAACCCTAATGTACATAACTGATTAGAAAAAAACAATAAAACTATGAAGAACCATAGTTATTTCAACAAAAATACATAAAATGTGAAGTGTCACACAGGGAATTGTGGGAATGTCAATTTACGGTTTTTCACTGAAAATTATACAATGATTTGTTAATTGTATCGTGTATAGTACGGAAACTTTCCGTTTATCAATTGACAGTTTTGCACTGTAGCATTTTTACAGTATTTTACCGTTAAAATCACGGTTATTTTTGCTTGGGTTGGTGTGCATGTATTTTAAGACTTTAATTACACCACATTTAAGCTTAACAGTTGACCATCATATCGAGCGCATGAGGAGCACGGGCGTGTATTACGTCATCAGCTTGCCAACAAAGTTTAAGGGGATAGACCAGTGTCTAAAGGATACAGATAGTGATGTCAATGTCCCCTGTACTGTATAAGTCCCATATTCTCTTTAATTGTTAAATTAATACTAATTGTTTTTCCTGCATTTACAGCAATAAACACCTTTGGTCTGACAACTGGATGGCAGTCACAAATATCTTTATTTATGTTGTTTCTTTCTATTTTATATACATTATCTTTCCTTATGTACTAATTTCTTAAAATATTCAATGTTCTATTACTCATTACTTTTTTATTTTGTTGACTTATTTATATGCATGCCTATGCATATTAAGTGCTGTAATGTAATCTCAACTTTTTTGTTGTAAAATAACAGTTGTAGAAATGCTAGTCATATAAAGACGGAGAAATTCAAGATCATTTAATAAAATCTATTCAATAATTTTTTTTCCCCATTATTTAATCTGCTTTCTGTTCTTCATCTTTCTGCACATCTTAAGAGTTAACATGACAAGTGTTGACTGTTTTGATTTGGCTATCAGACCAAAATCTGATGTCAGATCTAACACATTTCATTTCTTAACTAGTCCCCTGTTGTATTGTCACGGAGCGCACAGCTGTACGCGCAGCTGTCACTGAGCGCGCGCCCTCACCTCTCTCCGGTCTCTCTCGCTCGTTGTCTCCTGAGTTCTAGAACTACACTTCCCTTCGTCCTCCTCTGCTATCATTGGATTCCACCCCTGCCTGGTTCTCCCATTCAGTCTCATCACCTCCACCTGCTAATCATTATCTGCCCTTTATATGGACTGTTCAGTTGTCTGTTGTTTGCGAAGTCTTGTTTTGCCACGCTGCATGTTTCTGCGCATTCCCTTGGTTCATGTCAGTTATTCCTTGTTTTATTACCTGTTTGAATAAAGTGCTGCAGATGGATTCGACTGCCTCCTCTCATTCATCACAGAAGACTTCGCCAAATCAGGATCCAGCAGACTTCAAACGTCTTGCATCAGAAGTTTCTTCCCAGGCCTCTGTATTAATCACCCATCAACAACAGCTGGTGAAATTAACAAACCTCACTGACGAGCTGGTGAAGCAAACCCTCACTCAGCAGGTCGCGACCGCTAATCAAGCTCCCGCAGCTGCAGCGCTCTTAACAGCAGGCGTGAGTACGTCTTCAAGCAACCCAAAATTATCTTTCCCTGAGAAGTTTAATGGCTCACCTGCTGCCTGTAAAGGATTTCTGTTGCAGTGCGATCTGTTTATCAATCAACAACCCCAGCTTTATCCCACTGATGCTTCCCGAGTTTCATTCATCTGCTCGCTACTCACCGGGAGGGCGTTGGAGTGGGCAACGGCTCTCTGGTCTGGAGGTCAGCACACATTTCCCTCTTATGATGCGTTTATGTCTCAGTTCAGAGATGTGTTTGAACACCCGGCGGGCGGTAAGGAACCCGGAGAGCTTCTCCTCGCATTAAATCAGGGGTGTTCCACCGCGGCAGACTACTCGCTGTCATTCCGCACCCTGGCAGCACAGACGGGTTGGACGGACGAGCCACTTAAGTTGCTGTACCGTAAGGGTTTGAATAAGGATCTGCAAGGAGAATTGGCTTGTCGCGACGAAGGGAAGACCCTCGGAGAGCTTATGGAACTCGCCATCCGTCTCGACAATCTCATCCGCTCCCGACGCACAGCACTTTCGTCCTCCCTCTTCATGAGTCCACCGGCCAGTTCAGATATGAGCCCATGCAGGTCGGCTTCACTCACCTAACACCCGCGGAGAGAGAGAGAAGAAGACGCAATCACCTGTGCCTGTACTGCGGTGAAGCGGGTCATCTGAGAGAGTCGTGTCCCGTGAGATCAAGATCCAGAGACAATTCTGCGGTGAGTTCTTCGTATAATCCTCCCAATTCCCTCTGTGTCGAGGTTTCCTTTAGTTTTAATGGAGATATTTGTGAAACAAGGGCATTAATTGATTCTGGTTCCGCTGGGAATTTTGTCGATTTGGAGTTTGCCTTGTCTAACCATTTCTCTCTCATCCCTTGTGAGTCTCGAGTGGCAGTAGCAGCCCTGGATGGACGCCCCCTGGGGACAGGGGAGGTACAATACATCACACAGCCGCTGATTCTCAACTTCGGATCTCGTCACACGGAGAGAATTCAGTTGTATACTATCAGTTCACCTCTTCATCCTGTAATTTTGGGATTGCCCTGGCTGGAGAGACATAATCCGTCAATTTTCTGGGCTGAGAGGAGAATTACACAATGGTCCCCCTTCTGTCAGGTTCACTGTTTGCCCGCTCTCCATGGTCCTGAAACCGGTCACAGTTCCGCTGAGAAGTTTAACCTGCGAGGAGTTCCTACGGTCTACCATGACCTTGCCTTGGCATTCAGCGAGAGAGAGGCTTCACTTCTCCCCCCACACCGGGCCAGTGACTGCGCTATTGAACTACTCCCCGGAGCCGTTCCCCCGCACGGCCGTGTGTATCCACTTTCGCAACCGGAGACTGAGGCTATGAATTCGTACATTGAGGAACAGCTTGCCAAGGGGTTCATCACCACTTCTACATCCCCCGCATCCGCGGGGTTTTTCTTCGTTAAGAAGAGGGATGGGAGTCTCCGGCCCTGCATCGACTACCGAGGTCTTAATGAGGTAACCGTGAAGTACCGTTATCCACTGCCTTTAGTCCCAGCAGCCCTGGAGCTGCTTCGCTCGGCCCGTTATTTCACCAAATTAGATTTGAGGAACGCTTACAACCTCATTCGCATACGGAGGGGTGATGAGTGGAAGACGGCCTTTTCTACGACTACAGGGCACTACGAGTATCGGGTGATGCCGTTCGGACTGTCCAATAGTCCTTCTGTGTTCCAGTCGTTTGTAAATGAGGTCTTTCGTGACATGCTGAATCAGAAAGTGATTGTTTACATTGACGACATCTTGATTTTTTCAGAGACCCTTGAGGGACATGTCCAGGACGTGCGGGCAGTCCTCAGACGCTTAATTGAGAACCAGCTGTACGTTAAGACTCAGAAGTGCGAGTTTCATCAGACCCGGATTGCCTTCTTGGGATATATCATCAGCGCCGAAGGGGTGCTCATGGATGATAGCAAAGTTACAGCCGTGACGGATTGGCCTCAACCTACCTCGGTGAAAGAATTGCAGCGATTCCTGGGCTTTGCCAATTTTTATCGTAGGTTTATACGCAATTTCAGTCTCATTGTGGCGCCTCTAACTTCTCTTCTCCAGGGAGGAGGGAGGCGTTTCCGTTGGTCTGCTGAATGCACTGCAGCGTTTTCCCGGCGTTTTCCCGCGTCAGCCTTTCACCGTCCTTACTGACCACCGAAATCTTGAATATATTCGGTCCGCCAAGCGGTTGAATGCTCGTCAGGCTCGTTGGTCTCTGTTTTTCTCTCGATTTAATTTCAGGATCACGTACAGGCCTGGGTCCAAGAATGGGAAGGTGGACGCTCTGTCTCGCCAGTTCGAGGATTCCAACGAGACTTCCAAGCCAGAACCCATCCTGTCTCCCACTCTGATCGTTGCCCCGGTACAGTGGGATATTATCTCGGAAATTACTGAGGCACAACAAGCTCTTCCTATACCGCCAGAGTGTCCTGAGAATCGCCTTTTCGTTCCCCTCGAACTTCGTGATCGGGTGCTTCAATGGGTTCACTGCACACTCAGCGCTGGACATCCAGGTATCTCTGCTACGGTACAATTAGTCTCCAATCGCTTCTGGTGGCCCACGCTCCGGGTTGACGTTATCAGATTCATTTACCAATGTTCCATCTGTAACACGGTCAAATCTTCCCATCTAAAACCTGCCGGTCTGTTACAGCCTCTACCAGTGCCACAACGCCCGTGGTCCCACATTGCCGTGGATTTCGTAACTGATTTGCCTCCATCACAGGGATTTACCACAGTTTTGTCAGTCGTGGATCGCTTCTCTAAATCCTGTCGTTTCGTCCCCCTGAGGGGTCTACCCACAGCCATGCAGACAGCGGAGGTGCTTGTCAACCACGTATTCCGTCTCTTTGGTCTCCCCGAGGAAATCGTCTCCGACCGGGGTCCTCAGTTCACTTCCCGCGTTTGGAGAGAACTCTGTTCCAAGCTCAACATTAACATCAGTCTCTCCTCTGGATACCATCCGCAAACTAACGGTCAGGTTGAACGGCTGAACCAGGACCTCATTCGATTTCTGCGGACGTACTGTCACGAGAATCAACACGACTGGAGCCGCTTTCTGGTGTGGGCGGAGTACGCCCAGAATTCCTTGATTAAGCCCGCCACTGGTTTGACACCCTTTCAATGTGTTTTAGGTTTTCAACCTCCCCTCTTCCCGTGGGCAGGAGAACCGTCCGACCTTCCTGCTGTGGATGCATGGCTGCAACGCAGCGAGGCCACTTGGAATACCGCCCATGTCCATCTGCGACGTGCTGTCCGGCGCTATCAGCTGCATGCGGATCGAAGGAGGCGTGAAGGTCCCCGGTATCGGCCGGGCCAGTGGGTGTGGCTTTCCACCCGTGATTTGCGCTTGAGACTCCCAAGCAAGAAGCTATCCCCTCGCTTCATCGGGCCCTTTAAAATTCTTCGGCAGATCACTCCTGTTTCGTTTCGGCTAGAACTCCCTACTCATTATAAATCTCACCCACCTTTCATATGTCTCTTTTCAGGCCCGCTGCCGCTCCCAGGAGAGAGGAGGTCCAGGAGGAGGTCGGTCCCGTGCGGGCTCCCCCCATTGAGGTCGGAGGCGAGGAGGCTTACCGGGTGCGAGAGATCCTGGACTCCAGACGCCGCGGCGGGTCGGTGCAGTACTTGATTGACTGGGAGGGCTATGGCCCAGAGGAACGCTCCTGGGTCAAGTCTCGGGACGTCCTGGACCCATCTCTTCTCAGAGCTTACCATCACACTCACCCAGATCGCCCAGCTCCAAGACCTCGTGGAAGACCCCGTCGCCGTCCAGGTCCTCGCTTCCGGAGCCGCTCGCAGGAGGGGGGCTCTGTCACGGAGCGCAGAGCTGTGCGCGCAGCTGTCACTGAGCGCGCGCCCTCACCTCTCTCCGGTCTCTCTCGCTCGTTGTCTCCTGAGTTCTAGAACTACACTTCCCTTCGTCCTCCTCTGCTATCATTGGATTCCACCCCTGCCTGGTGCTCCCATTCAGTCTCATCACCTCCACCTGCTAATCATTATCTGCCCTTTATATGGACTGTTCAGTTGTCTGTTGTTTGCGAAGTCTTGTTTTGCCACGCTGCATGTTGCTGCGCATTCCCTTGGTTCATGTCAGTTATTCCTTGTTTTATTACCTGTTTGAATAAAGTGCTGCAGATGGATTCGACTGCCTCCTCTCATTCATCACAATTTACACACCCTCAAGGCATCCTAGGTGTATATGACATTCTTCTTACAGACGAATACAATCGGAGTTATATATTTTAAAAAAAATGTCCTGGCTCTTCTGACTTTTAGAATGGCAGTGAATGGCCGTCTATCAAGGCGCATCCATCCATGATAAAAGTAATCCACCACATGACTTATAAAGGCCTTTTGAAGCGAAGCATTTGTGTAAGAAAAATATCAATTTTTAAAACTTTATTGGATTGAGATATTGGATGTATGGATTAAGTATATGTTTTAAATTGAAGAGTTCAGATGCAAAAGCCTCTAAATGCCATTTGAAATTTTCTTCTTTAATAATGATTTTTATCAAACTTGTATATTTAAGTTCAGTCATTTCACTTAAATAACAATTAATAGGTAATTATCATTGCCATTTAAGTGAAATCACTGAACTTAAATATACAAGCTTGATAAAAATGATCATTAAAGAAGAAAATTTCAAATGGCATTTAGAGGCTTTTGCATCTGAACTCTTCAATTACAGAAACAAATTAAAGCTGCAAGCAGCGATGGGCGGGCCCTCGCACCTGTAACGCGTCGGGGTGTGAGGCGGCCGCGTTGCATATTTTGCAGCTCAGCCGGTGCGGCTGTGAATTTGCTACGCTGCTTAATTAAAGGTCACTTCCTGTTGCCAGCAGGTGGCGCTATGATTGTGGGTGAATGTCGGCATGTAGATTTGTTCAGGGCGGGACTCTTGTCAAATGTGTACAATTTGGTGCAGATCTGGGCATTTACAGCCAAGTTACTACAATTTCCTGTTTCATGGTGAATCATCGACGCCACGGACACGCTTATGGACGAAAACGCGCAGATAGCACAACTTTACATCGTCAATGACTTTAGAAGGCACAGCAGAAATGTGAAGTCGATCCAACCAATTCCCTAGGAGGAGTTAGTTAAAGTACGTAATGAGTAAATCATCCTAAAATGGCGGTAAAATTAGAAATGGCCCACTTCCTGTTGAGTTTATGGCATCGCTCCAAGAGACTTTTCTGTGCGTCTGCACATGGTAGATGTACCTCAGAAATTTCGTACATGTCGGTCAAACATGCGGCAGGGGCTGCTTCGTTAAATGTCACTTGCTGTTGCCACTAGGTGGCGCTATGACTCTGGGTGAATGTTGGCATGTAGATTTGTTCAGGGCGGGACTCTTGTCAAATGTGTAAAATTTCGCGCAGATCTGGGCATTTACAGCCAAGTTACTACAATTTCCTGTTTCATGGCGAATCATCGGCGCCACGGACACGCTTATGGACGAAAACGCGCAGATAGCACAACTTTACATCGTCAATGCCTTTAGAAGGCACAGCAGAAATGTGAAGTCGATCCAACCAATTCCCTAGGAGGAGTTAGTTAATGTACGTAATGAGTAAATCATCCTAAAATGGCGGTAAAATTAGAAATGGCCCACTTCCTGTTGAGTTTATGGCATCGCTCCAAGAGACTTTTCTGTGCGTCTGGACATGGTAGATGTACCTCAGAAATTTCGTACATGTCGGTCAAACATGCGGCAGGGGCTGCTTCGTTAAATGTCACTTCCTGTTGCCACTAGGTGGCGCTATGACTCTGGGTGAATGTTGGCATGTAGATTTGTTCAGGACGGGACTCTTGTCAAATGTGTAAAATTTCGTGCAGATCTGGGCATTTACAGCCAAGTTACTACAACTTCCTGTTTCATGGCGAATCATCGCCGCCACGGACACGCCCATTGAGGAAAACGCGCAGATAGCACAACTTTTCATCGTCAATGCCTTTAGAAGGCACAGTAGAAATTTGAAGTCGATCCGACTAAATCCCTAGGAGGAGTTCGTTAAAGTACGTAATGAGTAAATCATCCCAAAATGGTGGTAAAATTAGAAATGGCCCACTTCCTGTTGAGTTTAAGGCATCGCTCCAAGAGACTTTTCTGTGCGTCTGGACATGGTAGATGTACCACAGAAATTTCGTACATGTCGGTCAACCATGCGACGGGGGCTGCTTCGTTAAAGGTCACTTCCTGTTGCCACTAGGTGGCGCTATGACTGAGGGTGAATGTCGGCATGTAGATTTGTTCAGGGCGGGACTCTTGTCAAATGTGTCAAATTTCGTGCAGATCTGGGCATTTACAGCCAAGTTACTACAACTTCATGTTTCATGTCGAATCATCGACGCCGCACGGACACGCCCATCGACGAAAACGCGCAGATAGCACAACTTTACATCGTCAATGCCTTTAGAAGGCACAGCAGAAATTTGAAGTTGATCCGACTAAATCCCTAGGAGGAGTTCGTTAAAGTACGGAGTGTGTAAATCGTCCGAAATCGGTCGCCAAATTCAAAATGGCGGACTTCCTGTCGAGTTTAGGGTATGGGTTCTTGAGGCTTTTTTGTGCATCTTGATATGATACACATCCCCACCAAATTTCGTGCATGTAGGTTGAACGTGGACGAGGGGCTAATTTTTTCCAATTTTGTAGGTGGCGCTAGCGAGCCATTTTGCCCCGCCCATCCGCGAAACCCACAAAATACGAAATTTTTCACCAGTCCTGACATGCATGCCAAATTTGGTGACTTTTTGAGCATGTTGCGGCCCCGAAAATGGCGCTTACTTTGCAGAAAAAAGAAAAAAGAAAAAAGAAAAAAGAAAAAAAAAATAACCCTAACAGTTTCAAGAGGGTCCTCGCACTGTTAGTGCTCGGGCCCTAAAAAGATACTAATAATTTATCATATTTATACTTTCAATAAATTAGTCTTTACATAATTTCTGATTGCTAATTAGGCTGGCTAATTTTGAAAGTTTTCAATGTCAATATTGCTTGTGATCTTAATTTATGTGTATTCTTTATGTTTACACTTTTGCATGATCTTCTTTTTTAGGCTAAGAGGAAAAACTCTACCGTGCACACAGAGAACAGAGCTCAATGCTGCTAACTGGGGGAGCAGCTGGACAACTAGAAGAGAGAATAGTACAACACTATTAATACAGATTCCTGGATTATTCTTCTGCAAGAACCAAGACAAGCAAAGACTGATGATGAGTGCTCTGAGCAAACACCGCAGTCAAGACGCATGAGTGACTTTACGGAGTTCTACATGTAATGTTGGGCATTTACTGTACGCAGAACTTCTAATAATTTATGTGGATGCCATTCATAAACCTGTTAGATTTTGATGTTTTAGTTTTGAGATTAATAAAACTGTATGCTTTAACAATGTTATAGCTAAGCATTTTTGGGGGGGTTTAAGAGAACATTTTGGGAACAAAAATAAACTTCCGCTAAAAACTTTATAAGAAAGTTAGGGGATAATGTTTTAAAAATGTTATGATTAAACCTTTATAGAAGGTCATCACAAAACATTTTCAGAGTGCTCTTAGAGAATTTTATGCCATCTTTTAAGAGAACATTCTGGGAACAAAAATAAAAACTACCCGCTGAAAATGTTATAAAAATGTCAGGGAATAATGTTCTAACAATGTTAGCACTAAACATATTTAGAATGTTTTTAGAGAATGTTATTGGAACTTTTAAGAGAACATTCTGGGAACAAAAAGAAAACTACTCGCTGAAAATGTTGTAAGAACGTCAGGGAATAATGTTGTAACAATGTTAGCACTAAACATATTTAGAATGTTTTTAGAACTTTTAAGAGAACATTTTAGGAACAAAAAGAAAACTACCCGCTGAAAACATTATTAGAACACTACATGGTAAGTAATGTCTCAGAACATTTTTAGAACAAAAAAATTCTAGCTGGGATAGTCCACTTTGGAAAATGTGTAGATGTCATGGTTTGACCCCCTCAAACGTGAAACTTACACGTTTGCGTTAACATGCTCCATTGGAGAGATATCCGGATGTTTATTCGCCTCTGCCATAACGACCTATTGGTTTTCATTAAACCGAGAAAATGGAATTTTGTTTTATTGACGATCACTGAGAAATGTTCTATTATTTAAAATGCAAAAAAACAAACAAACAAACAAACAAACAAACAAACACAAAACATTGTTATTATATGTCATGGTTTAAACTCAAAACCATAAATAGGGCTATACTGCCCTCTTGTGTCAAATTATATTTCTATATTTATTTTTCCAACAAATAAAGCCAAACCTGCAATAAAACACCTTCGAATACACCCTTGAACTCAACAGATGCAGTGGCTCAGTTGATAAAGCGTTGGGCTTTAATCAAGAAGACCTGAGTTCAATGCCCATACTTGCGTTAAATTGTTGTGATTATATCAAACAAAGTGGCCTAAACAATATTTCTTCAACCCGGTATCGTGACAAGAAGTTGGTCCACTTTTGAAAACGTGTAGATGTCACGGTTTAAACCCCCTCAAACGTGAAACTTACACTTAATACTTACCATCACGACCTATTGGTTTTCATTAAACCGAGAAAAATTGAATTTTCTTTTATTTACGATCACTGAGAAATGTTCTATTATTTAAAATGCAAAAAAAAAAAAAAAAAAAAAAAAATGATTGAAAATGGTGAAAATGATTCATTTGCATGGATCCACGCCGAAGAAAACGTCTAAATGTCATGTTTTTAATGAAGCAGCTAATGAGTAAAATGTCTATTTTTCCGGCGTCCCCCCAGCTCCTCGTTTAAGCAAAAGGTACGCTAAAAACAACGTATTACATCGACGTTAAACCACGTTAACCGTGTTAACCATAACCTTTTTAGCAATGGAACTCGACCTAGTTCCATTGCTTAACAACGGGAAGAGACTGTAACTTCAGTGCCCAACCGTATCACGACAAGACGTGAAATAATCACTTTGGTCCACTTTGGAAAAAGTGTAGATGTCACGGTTTAGTTTAAACTCAGAACCATAAATAGGGCTATACTGCCCTCTTGTGTCAAATTATATTTCTATATTTATTTTTCCAAACCAAACCTGCAATAAACCCCCGTCCAATACATACTTGAACTCAACAGTTGC